TAAAATAAACGAACTTCATGAGCCAACAAGTAATTAAAGGGAGGCGGGCGGTTGCCGCCAGCGTCACTACTGGAAGTGCTGCGAAAGGGCGTTTTGTCATACCCTGCTCAGCCCTCTACCAATGACGCTGGCGACAACCGTCCTCCCCCTCCCCTTCCCCCAGCAATCTTGCCCACTACGTTCATGCACAGACGCCACTCACCATCAGTGGGGTGAGTTTGTTGTGAGTGCTTGACGTCGGATGGTCGACGAGCACCGTCTTGTGGGCGAGAAGAGCCGCCACGGCTTCCGACCTAAACGACTAGGTTTCAGGACGGGAGGTTACCTTGTGGGGGCTCAAATAACTGCTCCATAAAATGGACGTGGACCAGGAGATCCACGTTGCGGCGACTCCTAGCTAGCCTTTACAGGTATCCTGAGACAGCGTTCAGAATTCGTGATGAAGCGGGTCGAAGCGTTGTAACAAGCTGCAACGCACGTCATCGCAGAGTCTAGACGCTGCCTCAGCTTTTTAGTGTCAGATAAATTAGGCCCTGAAGCTACTTGTAGGAACCCTTTAGTCGGATAGCCACAGTGCAGAGCTCCTGACCCACTTATCCACGGAACTCACCTTTGGTAGCGTACCGCCAAAGTTAGCGCCGTGTCGCCCTGCCTCGTTCGAGCGTTTATCATCGATTTCTCCGGCTTGATTCCTTGAGCTCCTTTTTCTGGTGCTTCCAGATTGGTGATAGCATCCAGAAGGATCTAAATGGAACAAGGTATGTCAAGGGGATATGAACTCAGCTGCAGATTTTCCCACAGCGCTGCAAAAGGCCCTAAGCTGTCCTGTGAAAGATCCTCGCTGCAAACAGCCCTAAAGTGCCCTGTGGAGGATCCTCACCTTGATGGTTTCCTTTCTTCCAGCTCGTGCAGCCACATGAAGTGGCGATTCATGCTGCTTGTTCAGCGCTAAAGGTGATGCACCGTTCTTCAAAAGAAACTTGAGCGGTTCCGGTCCTTCACAAACGGCCGCATAGTGGATGGTAAACCTAAAGCACCAAAAAAGTTCTTCATCAAGCATAAGAGAAAAGAAAGAAAAAAGACCAGTTATTTGAGTCAGGAATATTGATATTCGGCTCAATTGTGCGAAGGCGTTCCAGTATCTGAAACGATATTAAAGGTTACGGGAAACTGCAAAGGATTAACTGAACTTGTAAAACTGCTAACAGTTCTCCAAAATGCCTCAAAATTCAGTCTCTCAGTCAATTGTTTTCACTGAAAGTCACAGTCCATACTCGTGGCATAGGCGG